ATTTAAGAGAGTAATACATTATTTCCTCTATAGGCTTCCACTAACAAGGCTGCCAGGGCTATGAACTTTTTAACTATCAGCAGTTTTCCTGACACCAGTGTATAAAACTGTTATCATGTTTGGTTGTGGGCTGAATGAAAAACAGTGCTAACTGACTAAAGGTCCACAGTTCTTTTCTGTTAAAGTTGACTTGTCACAATATTGTTAATTAGTGAGGGCTTACAGAAGGCTTACCATGAATATAATTACATTGCTGAAAAGCATTAATAATGTTCTTATTCTAAGACAACGTGATGTTATTTACATATTTTATACCATGGTGTGCATCATCAATGGCACATAATGCTGTAACTTGCTGCATGATCACAGGAGTATACAAAAACTCATGAGGGATATGGGATGTGTGTGTATCTTTCTACTATATGGTGATGATAATATAACTCATACCCGTATAGTTGTCAGTCTTTGCCTGTGAAAGGCAGTCTTTTACTCATTTAAGAGTGTTAGTATTGGTAAGAGGCAAAGGAACTACCATTACTTCTTTGTACTCTGACTCATCCTCATCCTTTCCTCATAGATTAGGACACAAATAATTGGAAATGGATAATAATAGTTGCTATTATATAGTAGCTCATATTTTTTAAGTACTGTGTGGACATTAACCAATTAAACCTGATAGTGATTTTGTGAGGAAAAGCAATTTAAGTAAAACACTCCTTTCCTAATCCTTTCCATTTTTCAGATGGTAAAAATAGACAGAAGGTGCCACCTCACTGAAGTGAATGGCAAAACTCCTGTTGACTTGGGAAGGCCAGGACTTTACCTAGATACTAAAAGCCTGATCCTGCATTTTTCTGCATCAGGGTTTTGCCATAAACTTCAATGGGTACAGGGGCAGAGATCAGTTTATTTCAGTGGGAGTTAGTTGCTTAACTGCTTTTTTAAATCTTAGTAGGTAAGATTTAATAACTGACTTCATGGAACTTTCCAAAGGCCACACATTTCACCAGTTGCAGAGTAGCTCTAAAACCCATGAATTCCTGACTTCTAGCTTCTCCTCCAGACTAGATTTCTGAAGCAGTCTGTTAAAGACAAAAGATCTGTAGCTGAATTTTTAAAAGGTGATGGTTCACTTAATTACAAATCACAATAGTTTAGGAAAAGTGATAAACCCTTTGATAAATGTTAATTAGATCCTGGGCTCTGTGGTGTCACTAATAACACAGGGACAAGAAACATTCTTTTTACCCCTCATACGCATCATGACAACTGTATTATGGGGGATTTTCATCTTATATTGAAGAATCAAAGATTGGCCACAAATCTGGTGGTATGATGACTGCTGTAATCCTATGCACGTGGCCATGCTATTTTCCTAAACAAGGCAGGGCATAATAAGAGGAAGGATATGAAGATGTAACATTGTGTCAAACAGCAGAACTATGTGGAGTCTGCACTTAAGGGACTACCTGACCCTTATGAGACACACAGTGGGAGGGGATAATTGTTGACCTACTTAGGTAAAGGTGAAACCTAGGTCACTCAAGCATGGCAAACAACTTCTTCCTTCCTTGCTTGGCTATTGCCTTCCAGTCTAATTGGCTAAGTACAGACAGTCAAAAAGCCTGAGGCTGAATTGATTCAGTCTTTTCAGGTTAGTCTAAGCTGCAGAGATAAGCTGAGAAACAACTGGACAGACATTCACTTTTGATTCAGGAAATGCAGCCACATACCTGCAGTGGCCCAGGCCAGAAGCTGGAGGGTGCTACAGCACAGCTCTCTGGCACTTAGCCAGAAAGCACTGTGTGTTTGCTTCCTCTCCCTGCTGCCCCTGAGGTCTCTGGGATTTGCAGTCTAAAATCACAGCAGAAGGATTCTTCAGGGTTGCTCATCACTATCTCTTCCTTCTTTCAGGAGCCAGCAGTAAGTTTTTAGTAGGGCAGCATAGGGTAGGGCAGCTCTGTACTTGGGGGAAGGGAAGTTTAATCCCCCTTCCTGGCCCCAGCCCCTAGCCAGGATTTGCCTGGAGAGAGGTGGGGAGGCAGTCCCTCCCCACCATTCTGCTTTCTCCTTCTCTACCGGACAGACAGGTCTGGAAAGCCTGCTGGAGGACTGTGATTTAACTTGAACCAGGAAGGGACCTGGGACAAAAGTTTCATAAACTGCTTTGATCCAAACAGTTAAGTCTGATACTACATTCAACCAGATTTATCTCAAACCAGTTTTGGCCATTTTGAAACTGGTTTATGTGCACTGAACTTCTGTTCTGTTCTGTTTAAACCAGTTTCTGAATACTTAAATCAGTTTATGTGTAACTTCTGTCCCTAGCCAAGGAGTGAGTCCACATGAGAACTCCCCTTTTCACTCACTGCACCAAGAGGTCTAATGAAGATATTAGAAAACAAGCAGCAACAGCTTCCAATGGCATTCCCAGGACTGTTGTCATAGGCTCATCTTGCACAGGAGAGTAGCTAGGAGCATCTGCGGGCTCTTCTAGGGTTTTACTAGTGGTCAGGCCTAAAGGCTCAGGATTATTGAGAACTGGGGCTCAGAGGGTATTAGAGCAGAAAGGGTGGGTTCTCAAGGGATCGGTCAGATGGGCATAACAAATACTAGAAACTGCAAATAGAGTTGGACTGAAGGAGAGCTACTCCTTCTACAAGTGCTCTGGCTTGGTGCTCTGAAACTAAGGCTAGGTACAGACATTATACATAAACTAGTATAAGTGATTGGAAACCAGTCTAAACCTGTAACAGAACAGAAATTTAGTGCACATAGGCTCATTTAAAAATGGCAGACCCAGTCTAAAATAGACCAGGATGATGTAGTATTAGTTTTAATTGGTTTAGGTTAAACTGGTCTACTGAACTTCTGCACCAGCTCCCCTCCCAACTCAAGTTAAATCCCAGTCCCCTGGCATCCCGGGTGCCTTTGCAGGTCCCTTGTCAGCACCCCCTGCAGGGTGGGTGGGCTAGTCCCAGCCCACATGCATCTGCTCTTGCCGAGCACTGGGCCAACCCTGCCCCCAGTCTGTTACAGAGCTGAGGCAGCAAAGCCTTTGGTCCCCACCCCTGTGTCTTGTCTGCATCTGTCAACCAGACCAGGCAGCCAGGGGTGGAAGAGCAGAGGCCCTGCCAACCAGTATAGCTAGCAGGGGCTGCATGGTGGAAACTTTCCCCCTTCCTTGTGACCTGGCCCAGCTGGCCAGCATGGCTTCTCTCCCTGGCCCTGCCCCCTGCCAGCTGTCAGAGAGATGGAAGAGGGGGAAAGCAGAGGCTCCTTCCCCAGACGCTCCCCCAAATTATTCTGGCTCACTTTCCTCCTCTCTCCCCCCACCACTGATAGCTGGCAGGAGGGTGGGGCTGGGGAGAGAAGCCACACTGGCCAGCCAGGCCAGGCAGTCAGGAAGGGCAAAGTTCCATTGCATGCCCCCTCCCTAGCTTTTCTGGCTGGGTCTGGGCTGACCAGCTTCACACAGTGGGGGCCTCCACTTTCCTCCCCTCTCTCCCCACTGACAGCTGGTTGGGGGGAGAGGCCTGGGGAGAAAAGCTGTGCTGGCAAGTCAGGCCAGGCAGCAAGGAAGGGGAGAAGCCCCTGCTGCATGGACCTGGCCCATCCAGATCCAAGCAAACACAACTAGGGCAGGATGGTGGCCTGAAAGGCAGGGGGCCTCCACTTCCTGTTCCCTCTCCCGGTGATGTGTGGCTATCACCCCTGGCTCCTGCCTTCCCCTGTCAGGTGATCTGCGAAGTAGCCAGGGTGCAAGTGGAGGCCCCTGTCCTGTGGACATAACCCCCCCACACCTGAGCAAGCACAGCTGGGGAGGGCACCCCCCCTGCTGCCTCTACAGCTGGCCAGTGGGGGGGGGGGCAAAGTCTGGGGAGAAAAGCTGCACTGGGAGGAATGTGGGAGCGCCCCTGCCTTTTAGCCCTGGTCAGTAAAGACATCTGTGTGTCCCCCACCACCAAAGGGCAAACGTGTATTTCGTTTGCTCCCAATCCAGTCTACACAGTTTAGAGAAACCCACCTAGGTTTGACTGATTCCATCTCAGGGTTTTTGAATGCCTGTACCTAATCAAAGAGACTAGGTATACAGATGAAGGTAGTTCTGCAATATCTGACAGACACTGACACTCCACAAACCATGAAATCTTTTCTTCTTATAATCCTCTTTCTGCTACCCTTCTGTTTCATTATTGCTGTAAAACACACTTTAAAAATCAGACAGCATAAAGCAAGCTAGGGAGGCTGAGCAGAATGCCCAGTGTTTCCCTTTGAAAGAAGGCAAAAGGACTGATAGAAAAGAGGGGAGGCTGTGCCTTACATAGTGGAGCTCTTTTGACACTACCAAGTGGAGTATTAGCAGATCAGAAAGGTTTTCTTCCATAGGAGAGGGAAGAGGAGTGACACTTCTCCTTGGCTTGAGAACCTATGCAGTATAATTGCATTTCTACAAAGTAATACATCAGTCACTTATTTCTGTGAAATATAACTCCATGCTTGTGTTTATGATAAGCCGAAATTGCCGTGTCATAGGAATCTGTATTAGCTATAGGAATTCTTTACAAAGCCACGTGCATACCTTCCCCCTCCAATGCATTTGCATAATTTCCCATACTAATCACAATACAATGGGTTATGGTGTGCTTCAGGAAGGAGGTTTCTACAGCATATTAACCAGAGATTCGTCTTAAATCTGGATGCCTATTATCCATTGAGAAATATACTCAACATAAAAATATTCAATTGTTTGCTGAGTCATAAATAGCAAAGGGGATTTATATTTTGAGACACTGCTTTATAGGATTTTGTGCCTGAAGCAGGTAGCATTTAGAACATGATCATCTTGGGCCTGGAAGCAGACTGCAGTCCAGTAATATTAAGAGAGCGTTCTAAAATATGCATCTCAAATATTTTCAGACTCGTCACTGACTATGCTACAATACAGCTCCCTAAAAGCAAACGTGCTTGCAGTGATACATTTTGACAAATCACCAAACTCAGCAGCAAAGTGGTTAAACATTTATGATTTGATTTTTATCTCGGCTTGGAATGTCGTTGGAGTGTCCCACTTCTAACAACTGTTTGCTAAGTTAAGGCTTTAGTGTTTACACAGTGCTGAATGAAGCAGCCTGGTCACCAGATGTGAATGCTTCCCTAGACTGAAGCTTTCAATCAGATCACGGTCCTAATGGTCCCTGCTCCAACCTTCTTCCTCAGGACGTCCACCAGCCTTTCCAACCTGAGGTGGGGGTGGGGGAGAGGGAAGGAGGGGAAAAAAAAGAAGCTAACATTAGGAATGTTCTGGCTGAAAGAGACAGTGTTTGCATTGAACCAAGCTGTCCTGGTGGTGGTCATGCTAAGAAACAAAGCATTACTGTAAAAGACAGACATTAGGGCAAAATGCAGACAAATTGAAAAAACTTTTAACCTACAGCCCAGCCCAGTCACAGTCAGAGGTGTTAGATCAATTCATCTTCTCCTTTGCAATATATACAGTATCTGAGATTCCTATGACACACTAGTTAACACAGGACTGCACACATCAATATAGGTCTAGATACTCCATTTTAAAGACACAGCACATTCAGTTCCTGAAAAAAGAATCAACTATGTGGATATAGCTCTCATTAAATAAAACATTTAGCTGCTATACTTCTTTTGAAGAAACTCAACACCTGTTACTCAGCTCAATTTTGGAATGTATTTTAGTGCTGTGTGTTTACCTCTAAAATCCCAAAGGCATTATGTCAAAACCCCTTTTCAAAATACAAGAAAAATAAAGTTTCTGAGGAACTAGGGATGTATTTTATGTTTAAACTGGTGAATATGGCTGGTCTATCAATTCAGACAACAGTATATGATAATTCAGGGCCTACCTCAGCAAGGTACTGGGTGGCTTCAAATCCCACTGACTTCAATGAAATGGGAATGAGGGTGCTGAGCATCTCATCAGACTGCATGCTTAGTTACTTCTTTCCTCCTTTAAAAGCACACAGCTAAACTCAAAGATTTAATTTTGTCCAGGATTTTGCATTCACATATATTTTTCTTAAGCACTCCAGGAACAGTGTGTAATAGCCATTTCCTTTGTTTATTCCATTTTATAGAATCCCTCTATCAAAGTTCTCCCATAAATAAACACACAGCATAAAGCCTGACATTGAGGGCAGATAACTTTTTTCAGAGTTGTGTCCAATGTATAATATACACAACACGCTGTTAAGAAGAGATGCAAGTCCAATCAGCTGCATGCAGTACTGAAAGCTCATTATCTTTTCTGCTCTGAAAAGACCATTTTTACTTTCTTTTTTTGTTGCAAGCTGCACAACAGAGAGAATGTAAATACAAAATAGAAATAAGCCAACCATTTTAGAACTACAAAATGTGTTTAACCTACTGGATGTATAAATGATCTAAGGGCAAAAGAATTAGTTAGTGCTTCTTGGATTTATTGTCCCAAGTCATAACATATGATAATGACTACTACATACAATAGGTATTGAAACACTCAGATTTTCCAGTAACCTCTAAGCATCATGAAACTATACCTCTGATTGTACTATTGAGATTACTTAATTCCTGAAACTAGATTAGGATTTCATCACTCAAGAGCAATGGAGGGGAAGATTATTAATAGACACCAGGAAACAAAACATAGTTCTCCAGAGTACTGGAGAAATGGTTTGTCAAGTTTGGTAATTTCACTTTCCAAATGATATATTGATATTCTGATTATAAATCTACCTTTTTGCCTCCTAAAGAACTCTAACATTTGAACTCAACTTACACTCAGGGTTGACCTACAATTGTGTTCCCAGCTTTCTTGACTTTTGTACTTGTATTATTTTTCAGCATGCAATAAAAATACCAAATCAGAATACTTTTCCAGTAAAATTTTTTTTTAGCACTTTTCTTTGTCATCTTAATTGCACAGTAGCAATTTCCCCAAAAGCATAAATATACAGTTCGTCATCCATGTGGAGGTAAGAAATGGACAGATGATAACTTCCCATGATCTACACTGTCCCGGGACCCGCGGAAGCCAAGAAAACTTACC